TCTCTACCTTCCCATCAATACTGATCCTTTATATCTGTGAGGCATTTGACAGTTTCCAAAACCATTTCATACTCCTCCCTTGCTGAGCAGCTCAACAGCTCAATCAGCTGAGAACTGTACATACACCCCTATCTTTTTACACATGAGGAGGTTTCAGACCCAGGAGAAGATGCCTGCAAGATCCCGGAGTTAATAGAAGGCCAGGCCTCCAGCTGGCCTTCCTCTCCCCACCCTTCAGCCCTTTAGCCTCTGTTCTGAAAAACCTTCCCAGAGGATGAGCCTCTTGTGGCTTGGAAGGCAGAAGGCAGAAGTAAGTTACAGTTCTGATCCAGCTCCCCGTTGGATTGGGTTTGGCTCACAAAGTGTTGATTTAAAAAAAAAAAAATCAAGTTCCTTTAATCAGTTGCCAATTATTTTAGAAAACAGGAAATTTCACATAAAAGTAAGGATTGCCACCTTCTCTTGAAAAGAAGCTCTTGCCGTGTTTGGCCTGCCTATGGGTATGACAACCATCCCTGGGGGAACCCTCTTTAGATAGGATCCAGGCCTCCCGACTTCCTATCCATATACAACACTGAGGCCTAAGGGCCAAGGCCCTTTATCATCCCGCTGTTGCTGATGGTTTTTTATGGGCTGAGAAGACAGTGAAATGCTTCTCTGTTTCTATCAAAAGTGGGGAAATCTGGTAAGTTGAGCGGGATGTGGTTTTTAAGCAAAATGTCAGGGACCTTAATTCCTTGTGGAGATGAATAGTATTCTCCTATGTGTCTCATGTGTAAAGTGTGTCTTTTCTGACAGACTACAACCTAAAATGCTCCTATGAAACAAATGCATCACCCCTCACTCATTTACTGCCTGTCTGGAAGGCTAGTGGTTCTCAAACTTTTTGGTCTCGGGGCCACTTTCTGCAAAATTATTGAGGATTCCAAAAAAAAAAAATCTCATTTAAGTTATATGTATCATTGCTTAACATATTAGAAATTGAAATTGGGGAACTTTTAAATAACAAGCACGCAATCCATTAGCCAAGCCACCAGAGCAATGATGTCATCACGTCACAGAGCTTCTGGAAAACTCCACTGTACACTCATTGGAGAATGAGAGTGAGAGACAAGTAACATGTTAGCCGTTTCGGCCTGTAGAGCCCTGCATGGAGCCAGAGACCCGACTTTGAGAACCCTTGCTAGGCATTTGAGTTTGTCAGCCCTGTTTCAAAACGATTTCAAGGGGAATAAACTGTGTTTAGTTTTCATTCCCTGCTGTTACAACATAAATTCTAGGTCTTATGAAGTGGGGCTTAAAGGGGAAGAACAAACTTCCTTCACCAAGCTTCCTTGTAACCCCCAGTACACACCAACCACACATACTGCACCCAGGACCGGTCCTTACACGACGGTGGCCAGAAGAAGCCTCTGTCATAGGCCCTTCTTGGGCGAGGAGAAAGGGCAACAGACACTCTTGTTTGGAAAACAAGTTAGAACCAGCCATTTTATTCCGAGCCCATTCACTTTGTGCTGGAAGGCGGCAGGAATAAATAAGGGAGGGAGAGGAGGGGCGGGGACGCTCTATGTCTTGCAGCAGAGCCCACACTTTGATTTGTAACAGCAGCCACAACAGTAGATGCAGATGGGGAAGTGGGTGTCTCGCCTCCTCAGCCTCTGGAGCCCAGGCTGTGAAAAGGAAGGAAGAGTGAGCGGGCGTGGGCCCAAAGATGGCTGGGGGAGGCTCAACATGGAGGCCCCGGTGTTCTCACCGTCAAGCCAGCCGTGGCTCCAGCAGCGGCTCCAGCTGTGTCCTGGGTCTGGAGGTCCGCAAGCTGTGTTGTCTGTGAAAGCGGAAGGGGTATGAGGGTGGCAGCAGGCCCAGCAGAGCGCTGATTTGCCCCCACTAGCCTGCTCCTCCCCAAGTGGTTGGTGTCCCCTGCTCAGCTGGAATCCTAGAAGTGGACTTGCTTTCTGGCCTTTTCTCACCATCCCACAGGCAGTTCTCCTTCCTACAGACACCCCAGGTCTGTCTCCTGCTCTCTCCACAGCCACTGCTCTTCTTTGGGGCATTACCCTCCCTGGCCTGGATGCCAGCCCCCATCTGTAACAAGTCTCGCCCATCCTGCCCTTCCAATCCATTCCCCCGCAGTATGTCAGGTCATGGCTTTCCCCATTAGAAAAGCCTGCAGGGCTCTTCCTGCACTTGGAGGAAAAGCAGCGCTTGCACGATTGCCCGTAAGACTTGGCATGTCCATCCCTCGATCTCATCTCCACGTACCATGGCCTCCACTTCCTAAAGCCTCTGATCCGCGAGGATGCCATGCTTGCCCCTTCTCTCAACCTCCAAGTCGTAGGTCAAAGAACGTTTTCTCACCAACACTCCGGCTCGACTGCCAGCCCTTTATCCTACTGAAAGCACCCCCCCCCAACCACCCCATGGTCACTCTGCTACACTCTTATTTGTGAATAACACTTACTAAACACCATGATCTTGCTTTGCTTATTGGCTAATTCCCTGACCAGGAGGTAAGCTCTATTGAGAGCAAAAATCTCTCATCTACCTTGATCATTGCTTAAACCCCATTGTCTAGAATAGGACTTAACACAGAGTAGGCACTCAATAAATAAATGTGGAATTCGTTCAGGGCACCGAGTCCCTGCCACTTGAGACCCCGTCTTTGTACTTCAAGTAGCTGCTCATGCCCCCTTTCCCTGCCCCAAGCTCTGCCCAGTGCTGGGGGGTCTCCTGCTGCCCTCAGCGGTCCCCTCTCCAGTCCCAGCTGCCCGCTGGGCCCAGGCCCTGTGGGCTCTCACCTGGCGCGAGAGAACTGAGGCGCTGGTCAGGCTGGTCAGGAGGAGGAGCAGGAGGCAGGTAGCCTGGATCTGTCTGTTCATTGCCATTTTGTGCTGTCTGTCTGGCTGTCCTGCTGTTAGGTCTAGGAGAGTTCTGGTGTCTGGGCCCAGTTACAGTTGCTTTTATGGGGCCTGCTGGGGAGGCGGGGGTGCTAAGCCCCCTCCCCTTTGTCCTAACTCATTTCCAAGAAGGTGGCGGCGCCAAAAAGGCGGGAGAGATAAGCGGGAACAGAGTGACAGGGAACAGGGTTGTGTCACCCTCAGCCAGCAGAGGTGTGGCCAGGGGGCAGGGCAGACGGGGCCACAGACACACACCTCTAGCCAGCCACCTGGGAAACACTTTCCCTGACGTGACTTCACCTTGTTATCTCAGAAAAAAAATCCCCCCTTGCCCCAGAGGTTGAGCAGGTCGACACGCAGGAGCAAGGTGCTCTCATCCCCCACCCTTGACTGCGTCCTGATTCACATGGGATGGCTGTCACTTACTGGGCCCCTCAGGGGTGCCCCACACAACTCCCACAGCTTTGGGTTCCCTTCTGTAGGGAACACTGTGCCAGCCAGATGCAGGAGTTTGAGTCGGCACGAGCCCCTAGCACGCATGCGGCCTTTTCCTCGCGTTAGATTGTAAGATGTGGCCCTGGTGTCTGGAAAACCTCCCTGTGACCTTTTGACCACGAGGGTAAGAACAGCAGTGGCTACCATCTGACGACTGCACCCCTGCACACCGCAAGTGTTAACTCAGCTGGTACCACCTGCCCCCTGAGCAGCGCCTGCCTGCCCCATGCTGGGCTCTGCCTTCTCAGCTCCCAAAGCCAGGGTCCTGGCTGCCTAGACACTGTTCCCTCTTAGCCCACCAGCATCGTCTTCCTTACTTTACAGGAGAAGAACTGAAGGCAGAGATTGGGGCACTGCCCAGGCCAGGGGCAGAGCTGGGGCTTGTGCTCTTATCACCTGGCTTCCCTGCCTCCTCCAAACACAGGAGGGCAGAGTGGGGTACGCTAGACCTGGCTCATCGGAGCCACTGCCCATCTCACCCCAACTCCACACTCAGCAGCAGCATCCTGGCCACTCACTGACACCAGCATTGGGTATGAATACCCCCAACACCAGCCAAGACTACAAACCAGGGCTTTTTTTTGGAAAGCCCAGCCTGCTAGCACACCATGGACAGGGATATGAACCAGTTGCCTGTCCTAGCCAGTACCTGAGCCACGGATAGTGGGTACACACAGCCCAGAACACCCACAAACTTGATTCTAGAGATGAGGGTCTGGCCATTTTGCCTGACGCCGGACTTATCCAGTGTCAACCCTACGACTGGAGCCTGGGGACGCTGCCGCCAAGGAACGAGCATGTCTTCCCACCCGAGCTGTTGCCAAAGCCCACTCAAAACCAGAAAAGTGAGGGGCCCCTGGGAAGTGAAGGCTGCTCCCTGCCATCTCCTCCCCACTCACTCCATGTTAGGCTCCCCCTGCTGCACACCCTCACTCACTCTCGAAGATGGCCTCAAACAGAGGCATGGCCAAGGAAAGAAAACAGAGGTCTCAGGGAAGAAACCAGCTGGGGGCATTTGGGGTACATGCAGAGTGGAGAACTCAGCAAGGTGGCAACTGGCAGGCCTAGATCCTGGGGGTGCATGGAGTTGCTCGGGGCTGCAGGTTGAGGCCGAGTGCAGTGAAAGGCTGCATGTTCTACCCCAGGGACACACAGCAGCAGCCCCCAGCACTGCCAGGCGCTCACTGCATCTCGGCTCAGGCCAGGTTGCATCATCAGCCAGGGGCAGGGGTCACAGCACAGGCGCCAGAGCCACAGAGCAAGGCGACAGGCTGACGGGCCAAGCCTGGCTTCCTGGCCATCTGCCTTCCTTGGGGGTGGGGGGCTCAAGGCCAGGCCCCACCATTGGCTGATGCAGAGGGGAGGGCTTCAGCCCAGAAGGGCAAGGCCAGGAGCCAGTCGTTTTTGGGAACTGGTGACACAGGAGACCCCAACCTCTCCCCAAAAACATGGGTCATGTCCTTGACCCCCCCTCCCCACCACACACACACACACACACACACACACACACACACCACATATACACCCCTTGGGGCTCAAAGGGGATATTCCTTCCTTAATTACTCCATCACTCCAGCCAATAGAGTGGGTACCGGGCAGTACAGGATAGCAGGGACTCGCACACAGCCACCAACACAATAGCTGGGGCCCTGCACCAATGGAGTTATGCAGACCCCATGTCCTCTTCCCATATCTCAGATGGACAGATACACAGACAGACAAGGCGGGGCCACATGGGGCCAGTTTATTGCAGTTAAATACCTCTCTCTCTATTTTTTTGTCCATTTTTCCATAAAGAAAATTAACACACACACACACACACACACGCACACGCACACACACGCGCGCGCACACACACACACTCAAAGGGGAGCAGGGATCCAGAAACAAGAGGTGCGGTGGGACATGACCTCCCTGCTTAGGTCCAGGCCCCAGGGATGGCCCCCCCCCAAAAGGCTCCCCTCCTTCCCGTAAGCACCCTGTGCCAGTACCTCTAGAGACCAAGGAGGCAGCGGGATATGGCAGGGCCTCTCTGTCCTCTTCCCTTTTGCCTCCAGGCGAGACCACTAGAAGTGCTGGGGCTTAGTGGGGGCGGGGAGAAGGGACACAGACAGACGGGGGAGGGAGGATATCATTTCCATGTTGAGGAGAGCAGTGGGTGCTTATCCACAGAAATGCATTATTTCTCCCCGTTTTTGTTAAAAATCTACTATAAAAAAACGCAGCTGGGGGAGGGGCGTCTGTCCCTCTCTGTGCTAAGGGCTGGGGAAAGGGGCAGCAGAGGCCGGGAGGAGGCCCCTGCCACTCGGTGAGGGTGGGCGTCACTGTCGGGTGCTCTCGCCCACCATCTCCAGGTTGTGCTGCTGCAGCTGGGCACGAAGCACGGCGTTCTCATTCTTCAGCTCTTCGATCTGGCAGACACGACAGGGGACAAGGAGCCAGGGGTGGCTCCCTGCATCTTAGGGTCGTGGGTCCCCCACCCAGCTTCTGGCCCTGGCACTCACCTGTTGCCTCAGGAGCTCATTGTCCATCTGCAGCCGCTCGGCCTCCTTGAAGGTCTCCTGCATGCGTTGGTTGGTCTGGCGTAGCTCCCGTATGTAGTCACAGGCCTTCGACAGGATCCCTCCTTTACTCTGCGGAGTGGGCAAGAGCATCAGAGCAAGCACTGCCCGCTGGCCTCTGCTCACTGGCTCACCCCAGGACCACTCCCGTGCCCAGTGGTCAGGCAGACTTTCTAGGAGGGGCTGGGGGTACTCACCGCTCCAGTCTTGCTATTGTCTGCATTACAATCTGGAATGATTTTTGAAAGTTGGACAATCCAGTTGTTGATCTTGTCCCTCCGCCTCCGCTCCACTGCAAGAATAATAATAATACCAACAGCTAGGTTTACAGCACTTCCTGTGCACCTGGGTGATTTACCTCCCAAGGCAGGTGCCATCAGAACCCAGGCCGCTGAGGCAGAGTGCAGGCCCTGCCCAAGGTCACACTGCTAGCAAATGCAGGGCCAGGATCTGAACGCAGGCAGCCGGCTTCCAGGCCCACTTCACATTGCTTCAAGAACCAAGTCTCACTCTCAAGTGCCACACACACCTTTAAAGCAGAATCAACAGCGTCCCAAGGACTATGGGTTCATTTTGTTTGCCTGCCCAGTGTATTTTTAAGAATTTGAGTCAACATTTAAAAATTAGGAAATTTCACCTAATTAGCATCTTTTGAAAAGTGGAGTTGTGGCTACAGCAGGCACATGTTCTTGGGAGGTTAAGAATGAGCTCGAGTCCCTTTACACGAGGCCCAAGTGCCCCTCTTTGGTCCCCACAGCCCGAATTTGATTCTCCAGTCCTCAGGTCTCCCCAGAGCTCTGGGTCCCATGATTCTGTACTTCCTTCATCTTTAAAAATCAGTCTGACCATGTCCCATCCATGCTTTAAACCCTCTTCCAGGGCCCCAGCAACAAGTCCTAGCTCCCTAGACTGGCACTTGTGGCTCTCGGACCTGACCCATCAGGGCACTGGGTCACCCAAGAACAACATGAACCCTGCCTTGAAGGCCAGAGATGGCAAACTAAATTTCACTTAGAAATCCAGATTTGTGACTTCATAAAATGCCACAACCTCACTCTACTGAGTTGAGCGGCAGCTGCTCCCTTCAGACAAGGGTATGTCTTCTCTCTGCATCAGAGCCTGAGACTACTGGTTCAGGGCCTATCGGAAGCAAAGCTGTCCCAGCTCTTCCTTACCTTCCAACCACAGTACTAGGCACTGGTGGGGACACACAGAAAAGCCCAGTTACCCAACTCTCACCTACACTCTCATCCCTCTGCTAGGATGGCCCATGGACAAATGCAGGTGGTTATTTCTGAAGGGAAGGCTGGGCTGGTAGGTGGGATTTGGAAAGGAGGGTGAAAGGATATTTTCCCAGGATTGGGTGGTGCTGATGAGATTGGGGGAGGGGGTCAAGGTGAGAGTGAGAAAGGAGGGGCGGGCCAGGAGCATGCCCCTTACTCCCTACCTCCTCTGCGGCCAGACTGCCCCTGACCCTGGTGTTCCCTCAAAGGACACACCTGGCCACTAATAAGCAAATCCCATTGTCTTCTCTTGGCACTTGGTTTCAGTCCTTCATACCTCCAAATGCTCCTCCACTTTGGCCTGGGTGACAACACCCTCCTATATGGACATTCATCCTCCCTTTCACCTCTTCTTCCCTCGCTCTCCTCTTTCCATAGAAACCTCCCCAATACCATGGCAGGGACAGTGCCCAGTGGAGCTTTGCCTGACCCCCAGGGCCCCAGGCCACTGCTGTCATAGTTAATGGAGCCTTCCCATCGAAGACAGCCATGTCTTACAATCTTTGGGAACTAGGTGGCCAAAAGCAACAACAAAGCTAAGAAAGCAGCCCAGGCTTGGTGGCACCTCCCACGACGTCCCTTAGCAGCATGCTCCATTCCCGAGGTTTCCACTGAGGAACTCAACAGCAGATGGCTTCCCAGTTTTTCTCTACCCTCATGCAATCCAGCATTCATGAGCCCGGGCACCAGGCTGCAGCTCTATCTTCCATGTACTCCTTGTTTCAAGCCGCCAGGGGGCAGGAAGGGATGTGGTGGCACACCTCCAGTTTGCATTTACTTCTTACAAGTATTAAGAAGTATTGCCTGCCCTACTGTGTGCAGGGCACGTGGAGAGACTAGAGTCCAGGGTGGACTCAATCTCTGTCCCGCTGGCATTCACAGCACCACTGTGAAGTGCATGTGAACACATGATACCAACATCGCAGGATGTGCTATAACTGAAGATTGTGCCAAGTGCCTGGAGAATGCCCAGGGTGGAGCAATGATTTCTGCATGGGAAGGGAGAGTGTGTGTGTGTGGGGGGTGTATCTTCAAAGACAAAGAGGAAACATTTGGGCTAGTTTCTGAGGGGAGGGGCATCAGGCAGACAGGTGTCAAGATCCCAGAAATGGTGACATGGAAATATTTTGCGGGGTGGCAGGAAAAGGTTGTAAAAACAGGTTGTGAAGGCCTTGAATGCCCTACAAATGGGTTCGGACCTCATCTCTTACTCTAGGGGTCCAGGCCCTTAAGTCTGGGGACTTTCACTAAGCAGGTAGTGATGTGATCAGGCCTGTGGCTGGGGAAGACCATTTTGGCACATCTGAAATAGAGGAAGACCAGATAAGACCAAGGCCACGTCCATTCCACAGAAGCGCTTCAGTTACACCCATACAATATTTAAAACACAATTTAGAAGCAAAATCTGCAAGGACAGAAGGGAGAAATGGACAAATTCACAAATATACTTGGAGACATAAACACTCCTCTCAGGAATTGATAAAATAAGTAGATGAAAACAACAGCAACAAACAGAACACCCCCCAGGACAGGAAACCTAAACACTGTCAACCAACTTGGCCTAATTGACACTGAGGAACACTGCAACAGCAGCAGATACACAGTCTTTTCAAGTGCACACAGAAACTTTCACCAAGATAGACTATATTCGGGACCATGAAACAAGTCTCAATACATTTTGGAGAACTGAGATTATATACAGTATGTTCTCTGATTGTAATAAAACTAAACTAAAAATCAGTAACAAAAAGATATCTAGACAACCTACAAATATTTGGAAATTCAGCAACACACTCCTGGGTAAAAGAAACCACCAGGAAAACTGGACAATATTTTGAATTAAATAATAATGAAAACACAACATATCCAAATGGGATGTAGCTACAGCAGTGGTTAAGAGTGAAATTTGCAACTAAAAAGGCTTCTAAAAGGAAAAAAGAAAGGTTTAAAATAACCTTTTAAAAGCTAAGGGGAAAAAAATCCAGCAAATTAAACCGGAAGTAAGCAGAAGGAATGAATTAGTAACATGAAGAGTGAAAACTAATGAAATAGAAAAAGCAATCCCATCCAACATTTCAAAATCAGATTTTACATAAAGATCTGTATTTCTGACTTCTCGGAGGTTCCAACAGTAGACCCAAATCCTGACATAGCAGCAATGGGCTGGCACTGTAAATGGCACCCTTAGGGCAGGACACATGTGCTCCAGTCCCGGGAGGAGGTGGGGCTGGAGATGGGCTCCTGAGGTACCCAGGAGTGGTGGGAAAGATGTAGAAAGGAGAGAGAGCAGCTGATTTGAAGTTCACTTCAGCACGGAATCTCAGGGTTTGGGGATGTTAGGGAAGAGCACAGAGCTGAAGGTGGCCCGGCTTTCAGTTCTGGCCTGGGTCATCGTGACAGAGGGTGCCTGTTGCTACCCTGGAGAAAGAAACGTTGCATGGAAGCCTTTGGAGAGGGGTGACAGCAAGTTCTGTTTTGGACAAGTTGAGTTTGAGGGTGTGTCAAGGACACCCAGAAATGGAGATTTTGAATGAGCAGCTCAAAATATGGGACTGGGATTCAAGGAAGCAGAATGCAGTAGAATACACTTGCACATTGCCCATATCCAGGGGGTGGGGAAGCCCTCAGAGGGCATCACAGAGCAGGTCTCACCTTTTTTGGAGTCATACAGGAGAAAGCCAGAAGAACCCCACCCCCAGAGAAATGGTAAATGCCTACAACTGAGTATGGGGCTTTGGAGATATTGACAATCCTTGAGGCCAATGGGAGAGGAGACCAAACCTTAAGAAACACTGATAGCCGAAGCAGTTTTCCAGATTTGCCCAATGGGAAGAATCACCTGGGAAACTTGTCAAAATACAGACTCCTGGGCCTCCCTCTAATCTACCCATTCGAACCTGTAAAGACGGCCCTGGAGATCTTGATGGTTAACAAGCTTCCTGGAGCATTTTGGAAGCTCTGCTCTAAGAAGCAGGCTGGGAAGGAGAGGAAAACAGTGTAGGAGAATCAGGGCAGGTAGGGCAGAAAGGATCATTACGGAAAGGAGCGGAATAGGCAGAGTCAGATGCTTGGAGCACAAACAAGAAAAGAAGCCAATGGATTTGGCAATGAGGTCGTCACTGGTGACCTTAAATGGAACGGTTTTGGTAAAGCAAAGAGCCAGAGACTGCCAAGGGTACAGGGAGGGTGGGTAGAGGGTGGGCCAAATACTGTGCAGGTTAAGAGAGAGA